AGGTCTACTACAAGCTAGCTCTGAGCAGATTGCTACAATAGCATCATAAATTGTAATGGCCAGACTTGCCTTGATTACACACAGTCTTATCTGTAGGTTGTGTGCTCTCTGTTTAAACACTGTGCAGGGGTGTGTGTGTGCGCGCGTGTGTGTGTGTGAATAAACACTGACCATTTGGTAGTTCGTTCTCCCTCTCTGTTTTAAAGTCCAGCTGAATCTGTGACTCTGCAGGTCAAACAGAGAGCAGATTGATTTTAAAGATCACACAGCAGATAGAGAAAAAGCATGACGCAGGCACTCAGCTGAAGTCGCAGAGCTTTTGGACTGTGGTATATTTGTAGATACATAAAGTGTTTGTGTTGCAACAGGTTCCTTCCATCTGATCAGGATGCTGTTGGACGAGTACATCCTGTTGGCTCTGGAGACTCAGTTCAACAACGACAAAGAGCAGGACCTTCAGAACCTGCTGGACAAATACATGAAAAATGCAGGTATCAAGCATCATTTCAGCTGCTCAGAGATCCATAATTAACTCAAATTGACTGCAGGTCCACTACTGTTTAAAGAGCGTAATTATTATGGATGTAGTAAATAGATGAATCGAAACCTGGATGTAGATAAAAAACAAACAAACCTGGGGTTACCAGCTTTTTATGCAGGACGCCCTACAGTGCAGCAAAAATAGAATTAATATATGTTTTAGTACATTAATAATGAATTTACATGTATTAATGTGTGATAAAATAAAATTAGAGAGTAACAAGGACGTTTCTAACCTCAGATATCTTATGTTTTAGTTTCATGACCCATGTGCGGTGTAATACATTTAAACACCCAGATTATTATCAGAGGTTCCTCATGTTATTCACATCACTTTCAGATGCCAGTAAAGCGGCGTTCATGGCCTCGCCCAGTTCCTGCTTCCTGGCAAATCGCAGCAAGGCCACTGCTGCCACGGACCAGCCGGTAAAGAACGAGTCTCTGGGAGAACACACCTACATGTCTCTGTCCACCAATCAGCAAAGCCTGGAGGGAAAAACTGTCATCTATCAGGGGACTGAAACCTCTGGCTTCACAGTTTCTGGTAAAAGAAAAGACATTTCAGATTTTCTGTCACATTAAAAAACGTTTTCTACTATCATATAAAATATGTTTTAATCTGTGGTCTTTTGGGTTAATCAAAAAACAATAATCAGCGATACAATACGAACTGTAATCAAAAGGTTTGACAGCTTCATGTCTAAAAAACAGGAATCATATGTAATTTAAATTTGGCTGCTCTTCCCTTCAGGGACATCTGCTATCATTAGGTCTTCTGTAAATCCTCAAATGAGCAGAAGTTTAGGCTTTTTGGGTACATTTCGATGGATAAATAATGAAAGTGCTAAAGTGAACTAGAACGGTTGTACTTAATTACGGACAATTACAAATACAAAATTATTTATATAGTGAAAATAAAGCAGATGTCATATCAGGTGTCCCCCAAAATTATCAGCCCACTGATGTACTAGTGCAGCGGTCCCCAACCTTTTTTGCGCCACGGACCGGTTTGTGCCAGACAATATTTTCACGGACCGGCCTTTAAGGTGTGGCGGATAAATACAACAAAATAAAACTAGTACCGGTACCGAAAAAAATAAGATTTATTCATAACACACGTGAAAAAACGATAACAAAATAACGCTGAAAACCAATAAAAACCCTGAAAACCATACATTTCACATCCGAGTCTCACTCTCGCGGCCCGGTACCAAATGACTCACGGACCGGTACCGGGGTTTGGGGACCGCTGTACTAGTGTGTCCTGCACTGCTGCTCAGTTGAATAAAACAATGTTTTAACAGGTCCGTGTAAACAAGCTCACCTCTAACTTGAGGTATGTTTAGGGAAGCATGCACTCATCGTAAAAATGCTGAAAAGTCTTGATGGTGATGCTGAACAAAAGTGCAATCTATCATAAGCTTAGCTTTTTTCTGAGTAGCACTCTTCTCCAGCAGATGAGCTAATGCAACATCCAGCCCTCAGACACAGGGGGTTATGATAGATAACCAAGGTTCAGGGTTGTTGTCACTTTAATGTGTTAGAAGCTTGTGATGTTACTGTAAAGGTTACATAACAAAGCCTCTCGGTCTTAACTCTGAGTTCTTTGTTTCATTACCAAAAGCTTTTAAAACTCCTGTAAACCATGTCTGATGTTGGTTTCTTTAGGCCTCTAAGTGTCGTATCCCTCTTCATCCACAATCAGGTCCTCAGATGGACTTCTCTCAGGTCAGCGGCCCCCTCATGACCCCCCCAATCTCTCCAGCGGGATTAGTTCACAGAGGTTCTGTCATCAATCAGGGGCCCATGGCAGGAAGGCCCCTGATGTCCTCTTCTTCTTCCACCACCTGCTCCTCCTCTTCTTCCTCCTGCCTTTCATCTCTCAGTGCTATGACCCAGCCCAGCCCCTGCTCTTCATACACGGAGACCCTGTACCATTGTTTACCTCAAACCACCTCCGGTTATTTTCCTCCAGCCAGCGCCTCCTCAACCCCAAACTACCAAGCTGCTCTCAGGTAGGTTATTTCATTTTATTTAGTATTTTGCGTTTTATTTATTTACCTGCATTGGAACAAATCTGATAATTACCATTGAGTCATGAGCTACAACAAACTTTTATTGACAGTTCTGTTTAAACTTTCTGCCAAAATAATTTTAATTTGTGTTCCAGGCCTCAGAATCAGTGTCTGGCTTCGGTTCAGTCTCAAGCTTCATCTCTTGCCTGTCACCTGTCTCGGTACCCCTCTTTTAACGACCAGCACCTGAATAAAAACGTGTTCTACAATCATCAACCTGCTCCTGTCCATCACTCATCCGGCAGCACTAACTGCTCCCTGGCACCCTATGCTTCTGCAGTCCGGCCCTCATCTGCCTACACTTCAGGTTCAGATCCAGCTCACAGTGAACAGGGACTTGACCCTCAGGTTGCAGCCCAGATTCTGGATTCAGCTGAGGGGTTTGGCTTTGTGGAGACTGGACTGAACCTTCCTGGTGGTGGATGTCAGGCACAGACGTATTCTGTCACAGGACCAAGCGGTAAGGATTCCCAAACTGTGGCCTCGTCTAAATGCCTTTAAACACCGGTTGCATAAAATCCCTGCAAATGTTTTATATGTAAGTTTTTTTAGGGCAGATTTTCTGCAAAATGCAGCACGGTCATGCTTTTATATTCAGCCCTAGGATGCTCATTTAAGTTCTATACAGTGCTGGCATGATACCAGTGTTGAAAATAGCAATTTTGCAGATCGCTGATGCTGGTACCTGACTTAAGGTCCTCATAAACTGCAATGCCTTGAATATAATGTCTGAGCATTTTAAGCGTCTGAGGTCAAAGTCATCATTGGTGACTACTATGATCCTAATCCTATCTCTAACAATACAGGCTTAGAATGTGTGTGTATTTTGGCAATTAGTGTTCAAAGAAAAAAATCATACTAACTGACATCAAAAGCTATTTTTTCCTGAAAAAATTTGCTCTTCTCCAAAGTACAGGGGAACCACCTATGATGACAGATGCTTGTTTTATGCTTGAGTGCGAACCACCGACTGCCTGTCTACCTGCAGAGTGTTTGTAGATGAAGGCAGTGCGCAAAGTGTGTGGTACAGGCAGTCTGTGGGCTACTCTTGATTGTGCTGCTCTTGGTCCTTCACCTAGCTGTGGAGAAGAGCCACATTATAACAAACAAAGAGCTGAGGTGAAACTGAGTGTCAAAAACAGTGAAAAATGTCCACTGCTGTATTTAAAAAAAAATCTTTGATGTTTTTTGGCTCCTCTCCCACCTCTGGTGAACTGTCCTATGCCAGCCCACTTGTCAACCAAGCAGCATTTGATGGATGCATACATCATCCCTGTCCAGCTATTTAAAGAGGAGATTTTAAAGGGCTGCACATTTGTGGTGGGTGAAAGCCCCTCTCTGTTTGCTGTCCACATAGAAAAGCATATGCAGATGGACACATTTGCAGGACTTTTATGCCTCAGAGAGTTTAATAAAAAATCTGTGATTGATTTGATCTTCAGAAACCAGATATGAAAGAATCCAGTATAAAATTTCTATTTATGGATATCGGTCTCTGACTGATAAAGACTAAGCCTACTTGTTATAAATTCAGTCTGCACAGAGTGAAAGGGTTTAGATATTTTGTGAATCAACTGTAAATTTGATTTCTTCCACTCAGATCTTTCTGGCTTCATGAGCATCCCTGATGCCAAAGTTTGGAACCAGTGTTTTATGTACAATGATTTTAATGTGTTTAAATGAACTGTAATAACTGTTGTGCAAAATAACACCAGATGTCTCAATGTGGGGGATGATGGTGACTACAATTGTAGTGGATCTTTTTAAATGCACCATCAAGGGAAGCACACCCAATTTTCTGCACAGTAAAAAAGTAAAAAAAAAAAAGGTTCTTACCAAACTGTACATCATTGGAAAACACTTTTCTCTTTCAGCAGGTTATTATGGGAACAGCAGTTACCTGGAGAGCCAGCGCATGACATCACTGGTTGACCAGCATGTGTCTGTCATCAGCAGCGTTGGCAGTTTGCGTCCTTTCCCTTCGACGTACTCCGAAGTCCACGATCCACTCAACATCTTGGACGAGCCAGGAAGGAAAACGGCAGGAGCCTTTTACAGTGAGGCAGAAAACGGAGCAGGTGAGCACAGAGGAGTAATGGGAGCAGTTTTGCAGGATGGGGAGTAGGCTCATAGGGATACACCATTGGAGACATCTGAGGGTTTTCTTTTGTTACTGTGAGCTGCTAGAGGAGCTACAAACAAAAAAAAAAACCCATATAAAACATATAACAAGGTTAGTGTATGTTCAAATCATCTCTGTGAACCACAAGCTCAGACGTCAGCCTGCTCTAAATGCTCTGTTTCAGACGGGGTTTTTTCTACCATTGGAACATCATGATTTTAGTGACGGTGAATCTCCTTTATATGGTCACCTCAGGCTCACAACAGCCACCCACCTGCTGTTCAAAGCCTCTGCTGGGAAGAAGCTGAAGCAGCTCAGACAGAGGATAAACCGAAGGAATACACTAAGACCCAGGATAAACTAAATAAGGATTATTTTTAACTGTCTAAAATAATATCAAGCTAAAAATGTGCAGAGGTCCACTTTAACTTGAAACGACTTGGGAGGATTAACGTAACTCATAATTCGGTAGAAAAGAAAAGTAAAATATACATGTCATGCACAGTTCAGCTGCACCGTTGTACTTCATGAATATAAGTCCACTTCCACTTCCACGTCAGGGTGGGTTTGTTGGAAGATGTGCACAGCAGTGTTTGACAGCAGTTTAGCATAAACATAAAACTCTGTTAGACTGGTATAGCAGTGATTCTCTATGGATTCTCCCCATTCACCATCTCATAGATTTGGAAGCTTGGTTAAATGTCACTGGCTGAAACAATGTTAGTGTATCACCAAGGAAACTGTGCTATTTGTTAGCAACATGATAGCTTAGTAGTGGTTAGGTGTGTTAACTCACAACAAGAGGACACTAGTTAGAGTTCTGCTGTGTGGAGTTTATAGCTCCAGTTTCTCCTGACACTGAAAAACAAGCTAAGTTAATGCTGTGCATGATTGGATAAAGAAAGCTTTGGTTTGTTTTTTCACTCCTGATCTCCATACGTGACAAAGTTGTTAATGTGACTCGTCTTAGTGTTGCCATAAATTGGCTACATCATGGCACCAACAGACAAAGACAAACTGTGAGATGCCAGCAGCTTTAACAAAACAGCAGTAATTGACTTTCTGTTAATGAGAGCAGGCTGGATTCTTCTCATGACCCCACCGGTGGTCTTAAAGGTATTGCAAGGGATTTAAATCATGTGTTCTTTTTGATCCAGAGGAAACCATTCAAATGGCCATCAGACATTGAAAGAAAAGCTCTGAAGCACAAAAGAAATTTTCATAAGAGCAAAAACAATCCATGAAGACACAAAGAAAGAAGGATTCATCTTCATATCCTGTGTAAGAAACTGAAACACGTCTGCTGTCTTTTCCTCAGATCACTCCCTCTCCTCGTCGGGATCTGCCCCCTGCATGTTTGGACTTCCCTCTCAGTTCACCTCGCAGGAATCTTTGCTTTCTCAGCAGCGTGTGACGGCATCCTCTGAGGTCCAGGACCTGGTGTCTTCGCTGCCCCCCATCAACACTGTGTTCATGGGGACAGGAGGAGTGCAATGATGGATCCATCATCCATGGAGCGACGTATGTGCCAGTACTGCTGTGTAGGATGGTTTGGTTTATAAAAAAGCAACAAGCTCAGTGGGCTGACAAAGGGTAACGACATGTAAGATTCTACTAAATTCACTACATCAAACACCCAAGCTGCAAGGTACAGTATGAATCTTCACTCAGCCACCAGGACACTCCAGCATGCAGTGCTGATGAAAAACAGTTGACCTCTGATAACAGTTTTATCAGGAAGCCAGCCTTTGATACCTATGCTAACTTAAAGATATTTATATTTAACAAAAATCTTATTTAAATATATTTAAATACACGCAGACTGTGCTATCCACCTCGAAACAGTTGTTTCTTCTTCATCCACAACTGTGTTTTTTAATTGGTAATTTTTCCAGATTGGAAATAACAGCGAACACTGCTTTTGTTCCTTCAGTGTTTTTTCTGTGTGCAAGAAGTTGTAAATAAAGCTTTGGAAAATGGAACAGTTTACTTTCCACTGACTACACAGCAAGTGAAAAACACCTGGTCTGCCCTGACTTATAATTCATCAGTCTAGACTTAAAAATGTGAAACATTTCTGCTGTTATCACTATTTTTTTTTTTTATTTTTTTATTTTTTTAACAATACTCCTACCAGTCATTTAGAGCTAAAGGCTGTTGCCTTGGTAATGGAATTTTTTATGCACCAAGTTTTCCCATTGCCTTATTGTTCTTTTAAACTTTAAACAAATCAAAATTTTACATTTTGAAGAAGAATTAAAATCATACTATGAGAGCAAGGTTTGGAAAGGTCAGATTCTTCTAATTATGACTGTAAGCCTCATTTCAAATAATAGAAATAATAACAGCTCTTAAGGTGAAAGGTCTATCTCATGGAACATAAATATTAATATTTATTTATTTTGTCTGACCCCTAAATAAACTTTAAACATAGTCTGAGCTTATATCTGATTAAAGATGAACATAGGGTACTGACAGGCAAAGTGAATACCGTCATAAGCGTGTGTATGCTAAGTGCAAGCTTAGCAAAGTCTTATATATTTCAGAATCAGAATACTTTATTGATCCCTGGGGGAAATTATTTTTTGTTACAGTGCTCCATTATAAACCAACATAAACCAACATTAACAAGACAGACAATACGCTAACTAAGAATATATATATATATGTATATATATCTATCTATCTATCTATCTATCTATCTATCTATCTATCTATCTATCTATCTATCTATCTATCTATCTATCTATCTATCTATCTAT